CTGCTTTAAGGGTGAGGATCACATGCGTCAGTGGTCCTGTGAGAAGAAGAATGATGCCTTTGAATATTACATGTGATCTGAATGAATATTTGGGAGGGCCAGAGAATAACATTAAAGTATGATGTCACTTACCTTGCTCATGGTGTTCAGGGTTCTCTTCTCCTGACAGGAGGGCACTGTAGGTTAAAGGAGACAAAGCTCAGTCAAGTGACCATAATACAGAGCACATCAAGACCTTGAAACACTAGGGTTTCTGTAGGAAGAGAAGTAGGTTATTGAGGACTGATTATATGCCAGAAATAATGCTGGGGAAATGGTAGCCAACTTTGCCATTGAATGGCAATAGCTACTGCATAGCAAAGATTTATTAGAAATTAGTTTTCTTTTGAAAATTAAGAACAGTTATCAGGGTGGAAAGTTTAATTAAAAGAAACAGTGTAGCGTTCTTTGAGTGGGATTCACATCTAACTGCTGAGATTAGAACTTGCTGCTGCTTGTTTCAGAATATATTGGAGATCTAATGTTGTATAAAATTTATTATTATTCGATACCGATATATTCATCACATTCTTTCCCAACATAGTTTTATCCTACCTCAGTAGGACACGTCACAATAGAAAATAACAATGCACCATTAGGTTCTTAATATGGAAGGATCTAGAACAATTTTTTTCCTGGTGGAATCCAACATTATATAATTTTGAGAAGCTAGAATCATACATTGAACTTAAGTTATTGTCTCCACACAATGTCTTAAGTATGATACTGATGCAGGTATAATGACAATCCCAAAGATGTGCAATTTAAGACTCTTCAACCCCAAAAGCTGCATCACTGTTGGTGAACATGCACTGTATTATATTTCCACTTGCCTCTTTTTTGCATGCCAAATAAGGCCCATGGCATGCATCTGGATTTATATAAAGTGAAAATACAAATATAGTAAGAATATGAAAAATATAAGGAAATAAAACAAAGTTTTGGGTATAATGATAAAAATATCTTTTTCATCATAAGAATGCTCAGTGATGTCATTTGGAAAGATTAATTTCATGAAATTCCTTTTAAGAATGAAAATACACAATGAGAATATTGTTTCATTTTGATAAACTAAAGATTTATAATTTACCTTTTTAGTATTTTTGGTAATTTTAATTTTTGACGACTCCCTGGAACTAAATTGAACCCCACCTAGTGCTTGGTTTAAATATCGAGAATGACGACGCCAAACACTGAAGTGTTTTACATAACATGGCTTCCTGGGGAAGGATGGGTAGACTTCCAAGACTGGTCTAAAAATAGAAAACAGTTATAAGTAATTAGCTTGGATTATGATGATTCTTAAATGGTGGGGTTGGGTGGGGGTACCCCCCTAACCCCCATGTTTTGAACTTCCATCTGGGCCAAAGGAGTGGGTGCCCAGGAGCTATCAGCTGGACAGGTTGGAAAGAACAGGAAGAGGGAGTGCTGAGGTCAGTAGTGTCAGCAGTCTAACTTCATAATAGACACTCACTGTGCAATACAACACTGAATGTTTACGCTTGAAACTCCTGAATTCTTGATTCAGAAAATTAGGAAGACCCAAATATTCTTCATAGTAATCGCTTACTACATTTCTTTCTCTGGTGCGCTTATAGGTCTCATTATACAACATTCTTCTTGAAATGTTTCTGAATCCCATTTAGCTAAATTGCCTAAGATATTGTTACACTAGTTCAATTAAAATCAATGTGTGGAAACGTTTATTATATAATAAACGGAACTAAGCCATTTTACTAGAATAGTTGTTTAATAAAAAGAAAGATGGAGTCTTCCTTTGTTTCCCAGGCTGCAGTGCAGGGCTGTGATCATACTTCACTGAATCCTCAAACTCCTGGACTCAACCAGTCCTTCTGCCTAGGCTTCTGAGTAGCCAGGCCACCATCTGAGTGTTTTTCCAAAGGCTGTGGACATGTTTTCAGTTTATGCTACTGAGCAATGTATCCTATGGTCTAGTGTGTGTGTGTGTGTGTGTGTGTGTGTGTGGGCATGTGAGAAAAAGTCTTACTCTGTTGCCCAGGCAGGAGTGCCATGGCATCAGCCTACCTCACAGCAACCTCAAACTCAAGCAATCCTTCTGCCTCACCTCCCGAGTAGCTGGGACTTCAGGTATGTGCCACCATGCCGTAGTAATTTTTTCTCTATATATATATAGTGGGCCAATTAATTTTGTTTCTATTTATAGTAGAGACGGGGTCTTGCTCTTGCTCAGGCTGGTTTCAAACTCCCAACCTTGAGTGATTCATCCACCTTGGCCTCCTAGAGTGCTAGGATTACAGGCGTGAGACACTGCACCTGGCCTATGGTCTATTTTTAATTGTGATAAAATTACTTTTATGTTTTTGTATATGATTTTTACTGGTGATTTTTTCCTTCCTTGAATTGTAATACAGACTATAAATTTAATAACATTTCTTCCTTGTGTTACTCCAGTGAAAAATGTAGGGGGCGCATAAATTAGTGTGTTGTTTCGAGATGAAATTTTGTGAAATGAAAAAGCACATAAAACAATGGCAGGTACAACTAGGTTCTGTATAAATATAAAAACAATTGTCCCTGTGAGGCCTTACTTTAGTGAAAGTGCCAGGGTGATACAAGATGCTGAAATGAAGTCTTTTAATATGGAAGTTATCTAGGATTAGTTGCTTGGAAATCAAGTGTGTGGAGGCCTGTCAGCATGTGGACAGTATCTTAAAATATAATCAAGGATGTAGTTCCCAAGTTTTCAACTATAGTTTATGAGAAAAAGAGAATCTCCATTGGCAAATCCCTGGAGGCCATTCTACCATTTCCTGCTGCCTGGTATTGCTATTCCCAGCCAGAGGATCTTGCAGGAAAACATGATGTTTGTGCAAATTTTGCCAAGGAAACTGACACCTAGTATTTTCCCCCTTGATTTGTTCCCTTCTAAAAATGCTTAATAAATATATTTTCATTATAAGTGATTTCTTAGTTTGCATGTGTTTTCCTTTACCTTAATCACAGAGTAAGAATCACTGTTATTAATGTTTTATGTCTAATAACTGCTAAAATCTTATTTCTGCAATAAGTATTGATGATATTCTTACTTCAGCAAAGAGGAAACCTAGGACATTAGCAGGTTAAAGAGGCACCCAAATGTGGGCAACATAGTGAGACCTCGTCTCTACAAAAAATAAAAACACTAGCCTGTAGTCCTAGGTAATTGGGAGGCTGAGGCAGGATCACTTGAGCCCAAGAGTCGGAGGCTACAGTCAGCTCTGATCATGCTGCTGCACTACAGCCTGGGCAACAGAGTGACACTCTGTCTCTTAAAAACAAGACTCACCTAGTCACGTCCCAGTGACTGAGTCAGGATTTGAATTCATGTCTGGCTGCAAAGACCAGTCTGAATTGTGATATCAAAATAACAGTGCTAGTAATTTATGTCCTTCAACTACTCAACATCTATACTTATTTGGTTAGTATCTGTTGCATTTTTAAGGGGGTTATCTTTATATATTATTGTGATTCTGATTACTTTGTATTATGTATACACTATAATTTTTAAATTTTTTTTAGACATGGTCTCACGCTGTTACCCAGACCGAAGTGCAGTGGCCTGATCATAGCTCACTGCCACCTTAAATGCCTAAGCTCAAGTGATCGTTTCACCTCAGCCTCCCAGGTGGCTGGGACTACAGGTGCATACCACCTTGCCTGCCCCTTGTACTTTTATTTTATAGGTCAGTAGTTTCTATGAATTATGCTTAAACTAGTTGGAGAAACACTCATTACCACATAATCATGTAGGAAAGACTATCCAATCTTTCAGGAGAGGTATCCAGTCCTTGACCTATTTGTGATTCTTAAATATCAGCTCATTGAAGTGCAAGGAATAATTTACCAGTAGTGTCAATGAGAGTGTATATTTCCTGAACTGACTGTTTTGAAAACCTGTGTTCCCACTGTCAATTCTTAGAAGCAATTACAGGCTCCTAATATGCACCAGCAAACACACCTTGGAGCATTTGGTGGCAGTTCTTCCTTTTCCATCATCTCCAAAGGCAACCAGGGCTTCAAAGGAGAAAGCAAAAAATGCTGAGGTCTCACACTTGGGTAGTGATGTTGGAAGTCTTTACATGTGACTCTTTGCTCTCTGTATAGCTGCTTCAATAACAAGTGTCTTCATATTTTTGTCCATTTTTTAATTTGATTAATTTGGTTTTTGTAAAGTCATTCTAGAATTCTGTATATATTACACATATCAGTTTTTTCCCCAGTTGTATGGGAGACAAATATTTTGTATGTGTTGTTTTTTCTTTTACCATCTTAACAAATAATTTCACAGACCAGAGTTTTAAATTTGGTAAAATCCAGTTTATAGATTTTCTTTTCTATAATGACTCATACTTGTGGTGCCATGTCTACTTTTTTTTTTTTCAGACAGTGTGTTACTCTGTGGCCTGGGCTAGAGTGCAGGGGCATCAGCACAGCTCACTGCAGACTGAAGCTCCTGGGGGCAGGTGATCCTCCTGCATCATCAGGCTCCCTAGTAGCTGGGACTACAGGTGCACACAACCATGCCCACCTAATTTTTCTACTTTTTCAGAGACTGGGTCTTGCCCTTGCTCAGGCTGCAGTGGAACTCCTGAACTCAAGCAATTGTCCTGCCTCAGCCTCTTAGGGTTCTAGGATTACAGGCATGAGCCACACCTGCCCCATAGCACTTTATTAAGTCTCTTATTTACATAGGAGAAAGCTATATTCCCATTCTTTGTCTTATTAAGGATTCCTTAATTGTTTGTCCCGAATGATCAATAAGAACAATGCTGGGGTTTTGTGTTTGTTTTTTGAGCCAGTGTCTTGCTCTGTCACCCTGGCTGGAGTGCAGTGCCATCATCATAGCTCACTGCATCCTCCACCTCCTGTGCTCAAGCAATCTTCCTGCCTCAGCGTCCGGAATAGCTGCGACTACAGGCTCACACTACCACACCAGGTAATTTTTGTATTTTTTTGTAGAGGCCAGGTCTTGTTCTAGCCTAGGCTGGTCTCAAACTCCTGGCTTCTGGGAATCCTTCCACCTTTTGCTTCCAAAGTGCTGAGTTTATAGGCGTGAGCTGCCACACCCAGCCAGTGCTGCTTAACTTAATGAGACCTTAGTTAAGTTTTACTCCTCCCAGGCCCCCAAACTTTGGACTGTCCCAGGTCATTGGAAATCAGAACAAGCTCTCCTCCTGGACAACCCCTCCCCCAAATAGGCTGATCTTAGGCTAAAATATTCCCAGAGTACCTGTAGGTCCCAGGGCCTCATCCATTGCCCCACACCTGGTGCCTTCTAGACTTGTTTACACTTTCATATAAAAGGAAAGCTCTTTTCTTTGTGACTCTAAGACAGGTGCAGAGTCTGTGGTTGACACATCCTCCCTATTGCAATAATCCTTTTAAATAAAATCTCTCCTATGTCTAAATTTATTTTTTGACAATAATGAATATTTTATTGTTTCATCTGTGTTAGGATATGTACATTCTGTCTTTTGTCCCATTAGACTTCAGAAAATGTTAAACTTTGAAAAGACAAATATAACAAAAATTGCTCATTCTCTTTTTTATGGTATAGGCTATATAATATATACTCAATAGATGAACGTAGTTCCTAGTTGGAAAAAAATTTCTTAAATCCTTAGTAATTTGTGTCTCTCTTATAATGTTATTACAGGGACCATATCTCAAAATTTTTCTGTGGCTGAAAAAATATCCCTGTTTTTTCTGAAGAATAAGAATGTCCATGTTGCTTCCTTGAAATTTTCAGAAGCAGCAAAATTCCACATATGCAAAATGGATTCAAGACTTTGAGCTATCCTGAGCTTCTTGTCTACTGTTTTGATAACCGAAAGCTCCACAATCAACAAGTTTGTTTGGGTTCACTGAAGTCTAGGTTAGAAGTTCCTTCCTGGCATCATAGTTACTGAATAATATTCAATAGTACAGAAAGATCCCAAATCCTGGCCTCAACAGTGCAACTTTAAAAACATGCAGAAATATCTTATATTCATCTGTGTGCCATGCCAGGACATTCTGCTCATTTCACGCCAATAAAATGTTAAATATGCTAAGTTTCCATGTGAGCATAATCATATTTAAATTTATTGGCATTTCATGAATGAAACTTCACACAAATAATGATGTTAGAGAAAAACATACTTCTCAGTACATATTAACTCACAGATGCTGCCATAAAATTATTGCTGGTAGAGATCAAGATACATAAAATGTAATAATCAAGTTTTCTTTTGTTCAGGGTTCTTATGAAGGAGAATAGCCTACCTGCTACATACTCTTCGGACTATTCTAAAATTATTCTCTAGGGGAAAATAAATGCAAATGCCCATGTTCTCCATACATAACAGAATATTCAGAAAGATAAAGACCTAAAATACATTACCATTTTAAAATAAAGTAGGTTTTCAGAATGCACATAAAGTCAATTTGAAATTACAGTATGTTTAGAAATTACTGACATAACAATATTGTGATGTCAACAAAGTCTATCTCTAAAATATTTCAGATTAACTTATCTTCAGTGGAATAACATAACAAGTATACCAAGTGTAAGGGACAACTAACTAATATCAATTTTAAAAAGCTATTGCTTTTTTAAAAGCAACAATTGGTGACCTAACTTAATACTGGATTTAGGTTTCCATTCTTTTCACCTCAGGTGTTGTCCCTATGAAAGTGTCTGGAACTGACCACAGTGTTGACTGCCTCTGCAGTAAATGGGGAATAGATATGGAAAAGATTTCCATTGTGTTCTGTTGGGCATCAGCATGAAATTGCACCTTGTGTCCACCCAGAGGTTTGCATTTCACATTCTAGATTGTATTCCCTTCAGGCTCAATTCTGGGGTTTTTAATTAAATTGCTAACATGAATTTGAATGGAGGGAACTTTCCTGGATGCAATCATAACCCACGCGGATCCCGCCAGGGGGATCCCAGCTCTCAGTGCCCTGAGCTGCTTCCACCTGTGTTGGGTCCCCTAACCCCTTTAAAGCCTTGCAACAGCTAGTGCTGAGAGCGAGGCGGAGGGAAGCTCAGGCCCCGCCCACACCCTCGCCGGCCCCGCCCAGGCCTGGGTCTCCTGCGCGCGCAGCATTCTGTGGACCCGGAAGCGGATCGCGTGGAGGGAGTGTGGCGTGGCTGCGCGTGAGTTTCCTTTTATCTGCGTTAAGTTTGAACCTCGGCTTCTCAGACTTCCCGCGCTTCCATACCTGGGATCTGGGGTGTCTTACAGACCTTAAATCCTCACAGCATTCCCTTCTCCCCAAGTAAGTCAGGCGTCGCCCCGGGTGCGGGGTCGCCTCGGTTGGAGAAAATCACTGAGAGGCTTTTCCTGTCCCCAGTCTTTCTGCCTTCAGGCCGCGAGACGCCTCCTTTGGCGCCGTTTTCCTGCTTGAAACAGGTTCCTACCTCTCCTCCCGCCTGAGCCATGTAAAGTCCTCACCCTCAGGTGGATTCAGGCCCTTCCGGTCCCCAAGCCTCGCCCTCCTGGGCCCCTGCGGGGCGGCGCCGCAGCCCAGTCCTGGGGAGCCCTGTCCTCTCCCTGGTCCGGGGATTCTGCAGACCCCCCTCACCCCCCCCTTCCTCCTTTGGCCGGGCCCTTCTGCTCCCCAGGACTCTTAGCAGTCACCCCTTCCTGCGATTCCGCGTTAGGGGAGGTGACCATGGTCCCTTCTGGAGACAGCCAGTGTCGTTGGTCCCAAATGACGCCCACTGGGAAATGCCGCCCTTCTTGGAGTCGGACATCTCACCGCGTTCCCCTCCCTTTGACTGTGGGCACAGGGGATCAGGAGAGACAGACTGGGAGGAAACAGAAAAACTGAGAATGCGCAAAAAAGAATGGAAAATAGAGGATGGGTGAAGGATTTACAAAGAGACAGTAGGACTGAAAGAAGGATCTGGGAAAGTAGCAGGGGGAGAAAAGCGACAGGAGAAATGCAGAGAAGGGCTTCATCTCGCGAGAGATGAATTTCAGCAAAATAAGGACAGGGGCAGGCACCTCAGACAGAGAGTGGGGGGAGACAGCAGCACGGTGCTGGGACAGTAAGAGGGGCCACCTGGTGACCAGGAGATCAGAGGGGGAACCAAGGAGGGAGGAAGTGTAGGGACCTGGGGGTGGCAGAGCCTGGGACTGAGGGATTGTGCAGGGAAGAGGCAGTTTACCAGGGAGAGCAGAGGGGGAACAGAGACAGGGAAGAAAGAGACAGAAATACATGGAGAGTGGGGACATGAAAAGACTGGGGAAAAAGAAACAAGAGGTGAAGCAAGTTTCCAGAGTGGAGGACAGGCAGAAGAGAAGGAATAGAGAGAGGAAGAAGAGGAGAAAGAGCAGAAGAGGAGAGGGTCTGAAACTCAGGGGGAAAACACAGAAAGAAAAAAAAGAGCTAGAGGAAGAAGGTGAGATTGAGAGAGAGGGCACGAATGAGGGAGGGATGCACACAGTAATGAGAAAAGTGGGGGGACACTGGGAGCAGTCAAGTGGTAAGATGATTGAATATGATGATTAAGTTGTGACCTGTTGATTTCACTCTATATAATTAATTTTTGTTTGAATTGTTCAGATGAGAATGAGAATTGTCAAATTCCTGTTTATAAGGTTGGTGCATCTGATATTTATGACATCAGAGGTTCGCTTCCACTTGTAATCCGTATTCAGGCAGAGGAAAGTGACTTAACTTATTCAGTTGTGGGTAATCTCTTCCCTTTTCCTGTTATGGGATAGGGTATGGGAAGTGAAGCAGGCAGGAAGTGATGGAGTCCATTACTGCAGGATGCCTTTTAAAAGAGAAATTTTTTTGATAGAGGTAGGGTCTTGCTATGTTGCCCAGGCTGTTCTTGACTTCCTGGCCTCATGCAATTCTTTCCTGTTAGCCTCTGAAAGTGCTGGGATTACAGGCATAACCCCATATGTTGCCTTTCAAAAGGAACGTTGAAAATGGTTTTGTGCTTATTTTATAACGGATTTCCTTTCTTTTCTAGTTCTTTTTTATTTCATTAGCTATTTTTTTGAAGCTTGACATGATTTTTAGTTTATTCAATTTGTATTTTTTCTATATATAATTATTTCTGAAGTAGGGTTTGTAGTATATTTTCATATTTTTTTCTTTGACCCCGGAATTTGTTTGTATTCTTTAAAAAGAATTTCAAAATTGTTTCTCTTTAAAATAAGTTGTGTCCAGTTCATTTATTTATTTATTTATTCTTTCTATTCTTTCCATGATGACATTTTATTTTTTTAAAGACTTAGGATCTGATTCTGTTGCTCAGGGTGGAAAGTGACATAATCATAGCTCACTGCAGCCTCCAACTACTGCACTTGCATTATGTTGCTGTCTCCTAGCCTGTATAGTCTCTGAGATTACAGATGTTAGCCCCCACACCTGGCTGGTCTTTAGTATATACTAGAAACATTCTTTGGGACCTAATATATAATTTTAGATTGTTTCATTATATACTTCTTAAAGATACCAATGACCCATTTTTCACCTTAACATCAAAACTTAGTTGAAGTAGCTAGTCTGGTATTCAATTTTCTTTCCTCATGTCATCTGTTAAAAATAGTGAGATGTTAGCTCCTAAAACATTCACCCAGATTGACCTATCTCAATTTGCTTTCCTGCTCGCCTCTGCTTACATTTCCCTGTTTGGGTATTCCACACTTTTTCTCTTTATCCCCTCAGCAGCCCAACTCCTCTTTTCTCTTTATTCTACAAGAGCTTTTCTTGTCCTGCTTTGAGCCCCTAGAGGCAAGAAAAGAGATCTGCTGCTGACCCAGCCCCCTGCCTCCAGGCCTGTGGTCTGTGCTCAGTGGTGACTGGGAATGGTCTGTCCTTGCTCCTGGCTCTTGCTGGCCCTGCGATTGTGCCCCGCTTCCAGCCACACTAGCAGTCTCATGAGGGTGTGGCCTCCTTCCTCCACGGTGTCATCAATATTTACTTGAAGGGAATTATTTTCATCAAAGTTCCCATATGCTGGTAATTTCCATTAAGACACACACACACACACACACACACACACACACACACACACACACGGAGTGAAGCTTTTTTCCCCTCCATCATTAAAATACAAATTGTCCATGAAATATGTATTTACTTTAGTAAATACCCTTCTTCTATGTTCCAGTTAAAAGCTAAAAACTTGCTTGTATTCTATCTTCAATTCTTGCCTTCAGTTCCCTCGACTCCATCCAATCAAGCTTCCACATCCACTATTCCACTGATAGTTTCCTTTTCAGAGTCACCAGTGGTCTCCCAATTTCTGAACCACTATTGAATTTTCTGTCTTTTTATTTTTCTGTTGTCCACAACAGATCGCACAGCTGGTCTCTGTCTCTCTTTTTTTTCCCTTTGCCTTAAGGATGTGCCACGAACCGTCAGAAGTCTATTTGATTTAATTTTCTTGTCACCTCCCTGATCAGGTTACACTTTCCTCTTCTGGTGTGTCCTGAACTCACCGTTCTCTGAATGTGCGCGTGACCCACAGCCTAGTCCTTGAGCCTCTTCTCATCTCAGTCCACACGCACTGCCTTTCCTAGTCGTCTCTTCTCGTGGTTTAAGCCCCACTGACATGTCAGCATTTCCCTTGCACACCTCTGCCCCGAACTGCAGACTCCTGCGTCCAGCTGTGTCCTCCACTCTCTGCTGGGCTAACAGGCATCTCCCCCTTCGCATGTCCAAAGGGACCTTCTGAACTCCCCCAAACGTGTTCCCCTTTCGTCCCCACATATCAGGTGAGAGTGACCCTGTATTCCTGGGGCTTGTCTGAACTCATCAGCTTGTATTTTAAATATTTAACATAATTACATCATTTGTAGGTGTTGTAGTGTGTAATATAAAGAAAAAATCATATGTTCATTGGACATGGGTGAGGGTATCCGTAGTTTCCAAACTTCTCTTGAGGTGTGGGAGAGAAACGTGTGCAGACCTGGCCCTCCCTGCTCTGCTCCCCCAGGCCACTCTGGGCTCATCTCCTGCTTGTGTCGTCCTCGCTCTGCTCCAGCCTCTCAGGCCTCTTCCCTTTTTCTGGAGCCAAGGTGGCTCCTGCCTCAGGGCTTCCACGTGCAGTCTGTCTGCCTAGAACTCTCTGCCCTCCCTCCTGGAGGTGGAAACATCCTTCCTTGCCCAGGTCATTGTCCTGGTAGCCCCTTCTCAGTGGAGGTTTCTCCGACTTCCCCCAGTTTAAGATTCCAGCCACACCCTCACCCCCTCCACTGGTCCATATTGCCTGTTCTGCGTGTTCTTTTTGTTCCTTTGCCGTTCACTGTCTGCATACTGGTGGCACCAAGTCCCCAAGGGGACAAGAGCAGAGGGAGGTGTGCTGGGCTTGTTCCCCAAGCTCACGCCTGGCTGCACGTTAGGGTGCTAAGGCTTTGCAGATACATCCCTGTGCCCCCTTTGCAGAGACTCCCGCTCCCATAGTCAAGTTGGGACCCTCCTTCAGTATCTTTACAGTGCCCCGCATGGCTCCAGTTCGTATCCAGCGTCGAGTGTCAAGGCTCAGTTTCTTTTATTTCTATGGGCAGAGACCAGTCTGGGATCCATGCAGGGGTGAGGGGGCTGTGCTCTGCATCAGGTTTGGTCAGGGCCACACCTGCGCCCTGGAGGGGAGCCCAGCCCAGCCCAGCTCCCCCCTGCTGCAGCGTGAGTGTGGGCTTCCACAAGGGGGGCGAGTTCTGCTCAAAGGGGTCAAAAACTCACTTGTTGGGCTTCCTGTGGGAGGTTTTTATCCTTGCATCCCTCCTGGTGCAGTGGGTCGCAGAGGACCCTCTCTCTGCAGGGTGAGGTCTTTCTTTGTGTGTGGTGTAGCACAGGAAGTAGGCATGTGGCTTGCAAGCTTTAATCCTCCTATTTTTCACATTCAGGATTGACTGTTAAAGACTCATGTTGGGTGAGGAAGAAGCCTGGAAACGGGGCAGGAGGAAAGGAAAGGAGTCAGGAATGGCTCTGACTCAGGTAAGGTGATGTTCTCAGTGGGTGGCTCTGTGTCTCCCTCCTTTCTGACATGCCGGGCACTGCAGTTGCTGATCTTCTGTGACTCTGAAGCGTCCTGCCTGTTGTGTTTGCTCACACTCACCCGTGCCTTCCCTCAGTCCCTGTCACCTCCACTCAGATTCCATCTCACTGTGACCCAGTGTCAGCACCCTGTGGAGAGGCTCCATTGGACACGGTCCTGGGAAGGGCTTCTCACCCAGGCAGGGGTTGGAGACGGGTGTGGCCCTGTGGCGTCAGTGCTGTTGGGCAGCAGGGCCTGTTCAGGGGCCACGGCTGGATGCACTGTCAGCTCTCTGTAGACTGGGATTAGAGAAGCTGCCCTTGAGTCATGGGTAATGCGCACAAACACCTGCTGAATGCTCTAAAAAGAGAATAATCAGGAGAAATTATTTCTGATTCATTTATATTACATTTGTAGATAAATCAGTGAGTCACTGACTCAAACTCTTAGTGACAGAGTGGAATGGAAAGTTAGACACAGACACCAATGATGGAGGATTCTTTCATTCCATCATCTGTTTTTACTATAACATAGATGTCAAATAGCAAGAGCTTCATTAAACTATTCTCAGACAATCCATACCACAGATACCGTGGTGTTCCTGCAGGGACTCTTGTGCGACAGGCGTTTTAGCTAAGAGTGGTTATATTTTGCTCAGACCGAGGGACAGAACTTCTTTGCCGTTAGAGAAGATGGAACTTTATTTTTGTTTTCCCATTTATTATTAAATATTCTATTTTATTTGAAACATTCCACAACATATGTTTATTTTATAATAAACGTCCAAAGAAACTTGCCTAGCTTAGGTGCTAAGGCATAGAGCACCGCCCGTCCTGTCTAGCCTTCCACCCTCCTCACGTGCTAGTGGGGAATCAGTGTTGTCAGTTTTGTGGAGAGAGCACAAGTCCTGTGGAAACGTCTGCTTCATTGTGAGATTAAAAAGTAAAGTTCTAGGCCGGGCGCACTTGCTCATACCTGCAATACTAGCACTCAGGGATGCTGAGGCTGACAGATCTCTCAAGGTAAGGATTTCAAAACCAGCCTGAGCAAGAGCAAGACCACATCTCCACTAAAAAAAAAATAGAAAGAAATTAATTGGCCAACTACAAATATATAGAAAAAATTAGCTAGGCATGATGGCACATGCCTGTAGTCCCAGCTACTCCTGAGGCTGAGGCAGAAGGATCATTTGAGCTCAGGAGTTTGAGGTTGCTGTGAGCTAGGTTGATGCCATGACACTCTTGCTCTGACAACAGAGTGAGACTCTGACTCAAAAAAAAAAAAAAAAAAGAAGTAACGTTTTTCAGTGAATGCTTTGTTATGACATTTTAACCTGTAAGCTTCACAAATATAAATGTTTTTTGTTAGCAAACATTGACAGATAGCTTGCTCTAGAATTCTACATTTTTGTTGAGCATTCTGCTAGTGAAGACAGGTGGATGTTTTAACTTTCCCTGTGTTACAAAGAATTCCACAGTGGCTGCCTCTGAACAAGTCAACTTCACTGTAGATATCAGAAGATTCCTGCCGATTGGGCATTTAAAAGAGTGATTCCTTCCTCTAGGATGGTGCATTTCCTAACCCTTTCCCACCAACAACACAAGAGATTTCCCCTTCAATAAACAGAACTTGCTACTGTGTTTTATTTACATTTTTAAAATTTGGGCAAAATGACAATCCCTTTTTTCTCTACATTTTCTGATTCCTCATGAGTCTGATGAGCTTTCATTACTTTGTGGATATGTATACATAAGATGGATTTTGTATGTTGCCCCATTTGTTTTCTTGTATATAAAGAGTTATTCTGTAGTCTGTGGTTTAACTCTTTATGTATATGACTTGTGGTCTTTCTGTAACTTCTAGATTTTTTAGTGTGAAACAAAATCCATTCTCTGATTCAAGCCCCATCTTTTGTTGTGTGTGTGTTTTATCTTGCTTTGGAAGACCTCATTTGGTGCATTGATACAAAATGGTATGATTCATTTAGAGCTAGTAGTTTAATATTTTGTTTGTATGTCTTATTAATTTTGATTTTTGGATATACATTATAGGTACTTTAATTGATTTAAACTTTCATATAATATATATCATACATTTTTTCTATGTAGTTTGCCTAAGGAGTCTATTTTTTTATTTTTGTTCAGGATTACATTGGTTCTGCTTTGAGAGAACACAGACCTGCCATTTTATTCTTTTAGTTGCATCTTTTGAAGGACAGAAGTTTTCCAGTTGGAGATAGTCCCATTTGTCTATTTTTGCTGTTCTGCCTATGCTTTTGGTGTTACACCCAAGAAATCATTGCCACATGTTCTGAAATTTCCTTCTGTTCCTAGTCCGTCTTTCACTGTGTCAATGTCGTATATTACATTGACTGACTTTCTTCTCCCGAACCACCCTTTCATTCCTAGTGTGTATCACACTTGCTCATGACCTATAACTCTTAATGTGCTGTACAATTTGATTTCCTAGTATTTTTCTGAAAACTTTTTGTTTTTAGAGACATAGTTTGTTTTGTCACCCAGGCTGGAGTAGAGTGGCACGTTCATTGCTTACCGTAACCTTGAATTCCTGCTCTAGCAAACTGTGGTCTGGGTCTCCGCCTAGTGTCCTACCCCTGCTCCTATGGTATTTGATTAAGCTGATGGTCTTTATTTTCAATGGCTCCCTGGCCCATAGTGTTACTCCTGCCTCATCCTCTTAAGTATCAAGGCCTACAGGTATACACGGCCACACCCAGCTAATTTTTAAAATTTTTTGTTGAGATAGGGTCTAGCTGTGTTTCCCAGGCTATTCTCAAATTCCTGAGCTCAAGAGATCCTTCCTCCTCAGCCTCCCAAAGTGCTGGGAGTACAGGCATGAACCACTACACTCAGCCTGTTGAGGAGTTTTTTATCAGTATTCATCAGGGACATTGTATAGTTTTGTTTTCTTGTAATATGTTTGCCTGGGTTGTATCATTGTTGTGGTGTCATAGAATGAATTTTTTTTGTGTTCTCTTTCTTCTGTTATTTGGATATGAGAAGGATTGGTGTTAATTTTTCATTAAAAGTTTTATAGAATTATGCAGTGATTATGAATTTTGCATGTGGTTCTAGACTCTTAGATGAGAGATTTTGATTACTCTCCTTACTATTTATAAGTGTGTGTAGATTTTTTATTTCTTTTTGACTCAGTAGGTTGTGTGTATTTCTACAGATGGATCAATTTCTTCTAGCTTATGTAATTTGTTGGCATATGCTTGACTTTACTTGTCTTTTACACTCATTCTACTGTGACATGCAGGTGATGCGTGTGGTGGTGTTCCCTAATTTCCTTAGTCTGTCTTCATTTTCCTTCATTCTGTTTTTTCTTTTGCTCCTTTTTCTGTTTACCATTCATTTCTTCTACCTGGTCAAATCAGCTTTTGAGACCCACTAGTGTGTTTTTCAATTCAGTTGTTATTGTATTTTTCAGCTCAAGAATTTTCTTCTGTTTTATAGTTCTAGTTCTGTTGATAATCTCATTTTGTTCATATTATACATTGTTTTTTCCGATGTGGTGAAGTCCATATGTGCTCTCTTAATTCGTTGAATATCCTTGTGACTCTTACTTTGAATTCTTTACATGCTAATTCAAAAAGTCTTCATTTCTTAGTGTCAGTTTGTTGTGATCTAATTTACTACTATGTATATGTCATTATCTTCTGTTGGGATTTCAGCATTTCACAAATCAGGCACTTATTTCTGGGTTTTGTCTCCCTTGATTCAGGAAGGACATTCGTCATGTAGCCTGACTAGAGATTCTGGAGAACTGTCATTTTGAGGATGTGTTCTCTCTAGGTTTTCGGTTATAATCTAACTGAAAGGATTTTGCCATGGAGCCCTTTTCTACTCAGAAGCTCTCCTGTTGTCTGCCTGGTAGTCTGCAGCCTCCCTGGTGCTCTAGCAAACTGTGGTCTGGGTCTCCGCCTGGGGTCCTACCCCTGCTCCTGCGGTATTTGATTAAGCTGATGGTTTTTATTTTCAGTGGCTCCCTGGCCCAATGTGTTTTCACCCAAAATAGAAACTTGTCTCTCCAGTAGTCCCCTGAAAATCAGAATGTTGGATGGATGTTCCCATACTTTCTCTCCCACACACACAAGAAACCAGGAGTTAGGAGTTTCTTCAAATTGTCACATCATGGCAGGGTAGTGCCTCAGGCAAGGTGTCTCAATCGTTCCCATTAGGCATCCATTAGGGGTTCCAGCCTCTTAAGTGATTCCTCAACTTCTCACACAGGCAATTGCTCTGTGTGTTGTCATCTGTGTGTGTTTCTGTGTCTGGGGTTTGCTGTTCCTCTATCTCACTGATACCACCACATGAATACAATTTTATAATTTCCTTACATTAGCCTGGAAATATCTTTTAATTAGGTGCCATGATATATTTGCTAGGGTAAATGTCATGTACCATGTGTCTGTTTAATGAGAGCTACTAAGGAAAGAATATGATTTTCAGTATGTTGGTATTGATTTTATACTTAAATAGTATCCTTTTTGTAGGTTGCAGTCATGTCATGTGTTAATTTTAACAAATCTAGCTCTTTACTCTCTTCCCTGCTCACTTTTTTTCCCACTATTTTCCTCGTTATTGGTCCCTGCTCAGATATTCTGGGCAGTGGTGTTTGGCTGGAGTCCTGGCCAGCCCACTTTTCTCCATCATAATTAAAGGAGATGCATCCAGTGCTTACTGGTGATCATGATATTTGGTGAAGTATCTGTGCTTAACATTAGGGTTTTTCCCCCCATATTTATTTTTTGGCCTAATTTTTATCTATCTAATAATTATTTCAGGTACATAGTGTTGTGATGCATTTTTTGTACATTTACATCTACTTTTTTTTTTTTTTAAAACAAGGTCTCGAACTCCACTTGCTCAAGTGGCTCTAGGTCATGATCCTTAAATTTGGCTCAGAATAAATGTCTTTAAAATTAAAAAAAAAAAAAGAAAGACAAGGTCTCACTTTGTCACCAGGGCTAGGGTACAGAGGCATGAGCAGAGCTCACTGTAGCCTCCCAATTCTCGGCTTAAGTAATCCTTGTGCCTTATCCTCCCAAGTAGGTGGGACTGCAGGTGCGCACAACCACAGCTGGCTAATTTTTAGTTTTCTGGTAGAGGCAGGTTCTCACTATGTAGCTCAGTCTGGGCTTGACCTCCTGGCCTTAAGCCGTCCTCCCACCTTGGCCTCCCAAAGCGCTGTAATTACAGATGTGAACTAGTGCACTGGCCTAACCTGAATTTGTTAAAATAATGTATGATACTGAAGATTTTCATTTCTCATCTTATGATTTTATTACAGGAATAATCTAATTTCATAAATTCCATTGTGCTGTTTGGTAATGCCTACATATCTAAATTTAACTGCATGAAATTTTACCTATGTTTTTGAATATAAGTATTTAATAAGCATTAGAATTATTTTCCTACTTTTTTTATGCTGTATGGTATTTATTTTTTTAACTATTATTTCAGAATATTACAGGTGTACCGGTGTTTTGGTTACATAGATTGCTTTTGTACAGCTTGAGTCAAAGTTACAAGTGTGTCCATCACTCAGAGAGTGTACATTGTATCCATTAGGTGTCATTTCACCCATCCCCTTCTCCTCCCTTTCACTTGCTTGATTTCCTTTGAATTTTACTTCCATATGTACACTTGGGGGCTGATTGGTTAGTTCCAATGTAACAGTGAGTACGTGTGGCGTTTGGTTTTTCATTCTTGTGCTGTTTCTCTTAGGGGAATGGTCTCCAATCCATCCAGGTTGTTACAAAGGGTATTAACTCCTCTTTTTTCATGGCTCAGTAGTACTCCATGATATGCATATACCACATTTTATTAATCTACTCATGAATTAACGTGCACTTGGGTTGATTCCACATCTTTGTGAATGTAAATTGTGCTAAAATAAACATCTGAGTGCAAGCGTCTTTTTTATCAAAGGACATTTTTTCCTTTGGGTAAATACCCAGTAGTGGAACTGATGGATCAAATGGTAAGTCTGTTTTTAGTTTGTTGACGTATCTTTATACTAATTTCCATAGAGGCTGGACTAGTTTGCAGTCCCACCAAGAGTGTGTAAGTGTTCCTTGCTCCTTGCATCCACACCAGCATGTATTGTTTTGGGACTTTTTGATAAAAGCCATTCTCACTGGAATTAGGTGGTATCTTACTGTGCTTTTGATGTGCATTTCCCTGGTAATTAGAGATACTGAGCATTTTTTCATATGTGTATTGGCCATTAATCTAGTGTCTATTTAAAAGCTGTGTGCATGTGTTTTGCCCTGTTTATAATGGGGTTATTTGATTTTTTTCTTGCTGCTTTGATTGAGGTCTCTGTAATTTCTAATGAGTAGCTCTTTATTAGATAGATAGCATGCAGATATTTTCTCCTATTCTTTAGAGTATTCACTCTATTGTTTGTTTCCTTCATGGTGCAAAAGCTTTTAATTTAATCAAGTCCCATTTATTAATTCTTATTGTGATTGCAGTTGGGGGTCGTCTTATAAATTCTTTGCCTAGGCCAATATCTAGAAGAGTTTTTCCAACATTTTCTTCTAGCATTCTTATAGTTTGATGTTTTAGGTTTAACTCTGTTGTCCATCAGAAATTGATTGATGTGAGTGGTAAGAAGTAAGGATCCTGTTTCAATCTTCTACACGTGGCTGTCCAATTTTCCCAGCACTAGTTATTGAATAGGAATTCTTTTCCCCAATGTGTTATTGTTTGCTTTGTCAAAGATAAGATGGCTACATGCGGAGAGTTTTATATGTGGGTTATCTGTTGTATTAAATTGGTCTGTGTGGAGAGTTTTATATCTGGGTTCTCTGTTCTATTATATTGGTCTATGTCCCTATATTGTGGCAATACCATGCTGTTTTGGTTACTATAGCCTTGTAGTATTACTTGAAGTCTGGTAAAGTGATACCTCCTGATTAGTTCCTTTTGCTTAAGGTTGGTTTGGCTACTGAAGCTCTTTTCCAGTTCCATATGAAGTGTAGAAGTATGTTTCCTAGATCTGCAAAAAAATGATCTTGGCATAGTTATATTGATGGAGATTGCATTGAATCTGTACATCACTTTGGGTAGTATGGGCATTTTAGCAATGTTGAATCTGCCAATCCATGGTATGGATTTTCCATTTGGAACATGGTATGTTTTTCCATTTGTTTCAATCCTCTGCAATTTCCTTTCTCGGTGATTCATAGTTCTTCTTGTAGAGATCTTTCACCTCCTTTGTTTGACATATTCCTTAGTATTTCATTTTCTTTGTTGCTATTGTGAAAGGTATTGAGTATTTTATTTGATTCCCAGCTTGATTGTTATTGCTGTATAGAGATACTACCGACTTGTGTACATTGATTTTGTAACCTGAGACTTTGGTGAATTTATTTATCAATTCCTAGAGTCTCTTGGCAGCACCTTTGGGGTTTTCTAGATATAAGATCATATTGTCAGCAAAGAACGATAGTTTGACCTTCTTTTTCTCCATGTGGAGACCCTTCAGTTCCTTCTCTTGCCTGATTGCTCTGGCTAGGACTTCCAGCACTATGTGGAATAAAAGTGGTTACAGTGGGCATCCTTGTCTTGTTCTAGTTCCGAAACACCACCTCACAGGTAGCTCCCAAATTGTGCCTCTGTATTCCACCACAAGTCCTCAAGGATGGAGGCATGGGCCTCACTCTCCGTGAAGACCTCAGCCTGAAGTTCACACCCACCGTAGAGAAGCAGCTGTTGATGAGCTTGGATTGTTTGAGGAAACTTGTTGATATAATTGTCACAGGAATTGCCTAAAATAGTATTAAAATGATGGGAGTGTACTCAGCTTTGAGCCTAGGAGAAAACACCACTGTGTGCATCCATTTTGAAAAGGTTAAGAAATGACATTGAAAGTTCCCTGTTAAAACAGGGAATTACTATTATCTCATCAATATACTGCTTTGAGAACAAAGGTTTTCAACATAGTAGGCACACTAGGATACAGGGAAAATGATATCACCCAAGAGTTTCTTATTTATTTCTCTTGAGAAATAATATTGTTTCTGTAGTCAACATCCTTATCTAAGTTATGATCAAAATTTATGAGTGTAAGAGTTATTATCACAATTGATGAGTGTAAGAAATACACTAAATTTACAGTAAACATCTCCAGCCCAAAGCTATGTAAGGGCCTCTGGGCACCACTTATCTCATTAATATAAAAGAAGATATCATCACTCGAGAGATTTCCACTGAGTTGTATGTCAGGAGGGAGTAGATGACCACAAATTTCAATATTTCACAGTATCAGAATGTGAATCTGTCAGCCCATTCACTTCAATCAAATCTATTCTTAAAATTATCACCTCATGTTATATAAACATTAGAACTCTCCTAATAGCCACTTGGTAAAATGTGTTTTTCATTTTAGGGACAGTTGACATTCAGGGATGTGGCCATAGAATTCTCTCCAGAGGAGTGGAAGTGCCTGGACCCTGCTCAGAGGGCTTTATACAAGGCCGTGATGTTGGAGAACTACAGGAACCTGGTCTCCCTGGGTGAGGATAACTTTCTTTTAGAAGTCAGGATGTCCTCTTGTGTATCTTTGCATTTTCTCTTGTGAGTCTCTTGTTAGCCCCTGCATTGCTTGACTGAGATCGAAGCCCTGTTGATTCAGAAATGAAAAGCTTTATAATGTGGTGTCTGGATTTTAACTGCCCCCTTTCTTCAGATGTTCTCCCCTTTGATGATATATCATTAGATGGTTCCAGAGCTTATGTGTGCATAAAACCTTGTGGCAGATATTTAAACTATCCAATTTCCCATTTTTTCACTCCTGTGCTTTGATCCATTGGTTCTTCAAAGACAGCTAAATGTCTACATGTTATAATATTCCCAAAGCATTCAAAGGGAGGCATTCAGAGGATGGATTTCTGATATATATTTATGTATCCATCTGCAATATCCTTTCTCCTTACTTAAACATAGGGCTTGGATTCTGGAAAGCCATGGTACCTTATATTCCTTTCTTTCTATAAGCAGGAATTTCTCATTTTGACCTGAGTATTATCTCCATGTTGGAGCAAGGAAAAGAGCCCTGGACTGTGGAGAGCCAAGTGAAAACAGCAAGAAAATCAGATAGATGGAAATGGATGAAAGGTGTGATCACAGGTAAGCGCTCAGATGAATAGAGAGAAAGCTGTTCATCAAATAGTGTTTGGGAAACTATGTAAATCTGACAGTTTTATGGGAAAACAAAAGTTTATGTTCTGTGAGCTCTGAAAGGAAATTTTTCTTTTCTTTCACTTCTCACTCTGTTCCTCAGATATGTAACACTTTATCCTTGTACCCTCCAGTGGTGCTTCAGCTGAAACAGAAATAAATGGAAAGTCTTTGTCATGGTGGACAACACCGTGTTATCTGACCTCGTGAACTCTTTTCTTTCAGAAGCATTGGTTTTCCCCTTGGTCTTTCTTCCTGTATTTGATTCCATCTAATGCTAACTTCTCAGTCCATACTGATCAGAGCTGTGGCCTTCATAGTCCTAATGACTGGACCTCTTCATGTTTCATCCCATTTCATGTGTTTGGAAGACCCAGTCAGGCGATGGGAAACATTGTCTGGTCTTCCTTCCTGGGTCTCCAGACACTTCCCGGAGTTTTCTCAAGCCCTTTCTCTCTGATGAGATTCCTCAGTCATTTTTGCCACACTTTACAGCTGTGTATGATAAGGGAGTGAGCTGGATCTTCTGAGATTGTGACTTAGCTGAAAAAAAAGTCCATAGAAACACCCATTCTTTGATCTTCAGTCCTACCTGGGCACAGATCATATTCTTTCTGTCTCTTTGGGTGGGCTCTATTGGCAGAACATTGAGTCCATTCTCAAGATGCCACATACTACTGAGTCATTGTAGGGAGCCTTGGCTCTGCCTGGTTTTGTACTCTCTTAGTTAATATGATTTACTTTCTGAAATTGGCTTTTAACATAAACGTTTCTGTAGACGCCGGGATGTGCCCTCATGTATCTTTGTACTTTCTCTTGTGAGTCTCCCGTTAACCCTTGTATTGCTTTACTGAGATTATAGCCTCAGGGTTGAGGTTGGTTGGGATAATCCACCTTTAGGTTATGGATAACGCCTGTGGAGTATCCCATAGAGTGTATTTATTACATAACAGAAAATTGATGAAGGAGAACACTTTCACTAATATGATTCAATATTAATCCTGCTAAATGTGAAGATGCTTTTTGAAGCCACTGAATAGAGCTGGCCCATGATCCTGAGATAGAAAGTATCAGCAGAGCCTGACTGATAATGCGTTTCCCCTAAAATAAGACCTACCCATAAAATAAGCCCTAGCAGGATTTCTAAGCATTTGCGCAATATAATCCTCACCCCGAAAATAAGACCTAGTTATGGGTGTGGCTATCCAGAGTATCTGCACAACCCATGCAATTCGTCATGGAGCAGTAAAGAAGATAAGCAGCCCTTCTCATCTCTCCCATGAGAGCTCTCATTTTCTCATCTCCCCATGAGAGCTCTATTGCATAGAAAAGGGCTCTCCTCAAAGTACCAATCCATGTAATATGAAAAGTATGAACAGTAGCTGGATACTTTCCAACAGGCCCTGTATAAAAATTAGCCACTAGAAGAAATCACAGGGAAAAACCTACGTGACATTGGTCTGAAAAATCATTTTTTTTAGATTTGACCCCAAAAGCTCAGGCAATAGAAGCAAATATAGACGAATAGGATTGCACCAAACAAAACTGTTTCTTCACAGCAAAGGAAACAATTAAGGGAAACTTTGCATTATGAGAAAGTATTTCCAAGCCGTACATCTCATGGGAAAGTAACATCCAAAATATATATGAAACTGAAACAATTCAATGGGATGGAAAGAAATAACCCACCAATTAAAAAATGGTCAAAGGACCTCAATAGACATTTATTCAAAGGTGACATGCATTTGAAGAATAGATATATTAAAAAGACTCAACACCAGTAATCTTTATGAAAATACAAATTTAAACCACAATGAGAAACCACTGCACACCTGTCATAATGGCTATTGCTGATAAGTGTTGGTGAAGATATGGAGAAAAGGAAACCCTTCTATACTGCTGGTGGGATTGTAAATTAGTATAAGCATTATGCAAAACTATATGCAGTTTAATCTCAAAACTAAAAACTAAAAATTTCAAAAACTAAAAATCACCAAAACTAAAAATAGTATTACTATATGATCCAACAGCAGGAGTATATGATAAGTTTTGGTGGTGATTGATAGAGTGATTACCTTATTCCATCATTCCACATTATGTAGGTATATCATGATATTATTTTGTTCCCTGCAGATATATACAATTATAATTTGATGATGTATAATAAAAATTTTAGGAACTCATATTCCAGTTCTTATACTCTCTACTAATTGTAAAGTGGATGTCCTTGCTTTTTTCTTAAGAGAAAATTGTTCCTATTTCCACAAAGTATATCCTTTTAGAAATGTGGTTGCTAATTCTTTGCTTGTTTTATAATGGATTACTAGGATGTTTTACTAATTACTTTTTCTTACAATTTACAGATAATAGGTTCTAAGTATGTATTATGCAATATAACTTCTTTTTGTTTCAATTGTGAGATAGCCATATGTTTTTTTGTCAATTGGTGTATACCTCAGGGTCACTCATTTCAGGGCTAATATAGGTTTGCCCATTGTGTTTTAGTTATAGGTGGTTTGAAACTAGACTTCCACAATATTAATTTGGATCACATGTAATCATGTTTTCTTTATTAAACAATACTATTCCTTTTGTGTTGCTAAAAATTAAATTTTATCTTTCTGAAGTTTCTAAGTATGTTTGATATCAGCATTACTTTTGCTGTGATGTTAAGTTTATCAATGTGAAATGTTTGTTTATGCGCTGTAATTAATTGGAAACTTACCGTTTTTTATACCTTGTAGATCTCTCTCCTGCATTTGTAATAAAAAATGTACCTCCAAAAGGGAAAACCAGTGCAGGAGAAGTATTCCAAACAGTGACATTGGAACGACCTGAAAGCCATGACATTGAAGACTTTTCCTTTACAGAAGTGCAGAAAAATATACATAACTTTGGGTATCAATGGGGAGATGATGAAGGAAGTTACAAAGCTGAGCTTATGACTCCTAAAGTGAATCTCAGTGGTAGAAGAGATCAACATGAAAGAAGGGATGCAGGAAACAAGCTTATTAAAAATCCATGTGGATTAATCGTTACATCACGTGTGGCTCAACCGCAGCTATTTCAAAGTGAAAGGAAAGTTGACGAATGTAATGAAATCAAGTCTACCAACCATGATTCCTCAGTTTCACCACTTCAACAAATCCCTTCTAATGTCAAAACCCACATGTCTAAAAACTGTGAGAATGATGTCATCTTTTCTTCATCACTGACTCAAGGACAAACAGTAAATGGTGTAAAACCTTACAAATGTACAGAAAGTGGCAAGGTGTTCACTGAAAATTTACATCTTGCTTGTCATAAGATAATTCATACTGTAGAGAAATCTTACAAGTGTAATGATTGTGGCAAGGTCTTTACTCGAAATGCATACCTTGCACGTCACAGGAGAACACATACTGGAGAAAAACCTTATAAATGTAATGAATGTGGCAAGGCTTTTGCTCGAAATGCAAACCTTGCACGTCATAAGAGAAGTCATACTGGAGAGAAACCTTACCAATGTAATGAGTGTGGCAAAGCCTTTAGTATACGTTCAAGACTAACTATCCATCAGGCAATCCATACTGGAGAGAAACCTTACAAATGTAATGAGTGTGGCAAAGTCTTTACTCAAAATGCATACCTTGCACGTCACAGGAGAACACATACTGGGGAAAAACCTTACAGTTGTAATGAGTGTGGCAAGGCCTTTGCTCGAACTTCACAGCTTGTCTGTCACAGGAGACGGCATACTGGAGAAAAACCGTACAAATGTTACGAATGTGGGAAGGTCTTCAAGCATAATGGTTCCCTTGCATACCATCGAAGAATTCATACTGGTGAGAAACCTTATAAGTGTTATGAGTGTGGCAAATCCTTTAGGGTTCGATCAATCCTAACTACCCATCAGATAATCCATACTGGAGTAGAACCTCACAAGTGTAATGAGTGTGGCAAGGTCTTCATTCGAAATGCAGACCTTCAGCGTCACAAGAGAAGGCATACTGGAGAAAAACCTTACAAATGTAATGAGTGTGGCAAGGCCTTCACTCAACATTCAGACCTTGCACATCATAGGAGAATTCATACTGGAGAGAGGCCTTACCAGTGTAATGAGTGCGGAAAAGCCTTTAGTGTACGTTCAAGACTGACTATCCATCAGGTAATCCATACTGGAGAGAAACGTTACAAATGCAGTGAGTGTGGCAAGGTCTTTACTCGACATGCACACCTTGCACGTCACAGGAGAAGGCATACTGGAGAAAAACCTTACAAATGTAATGAGTGTGGCAAGGCCTTCACTCAAAATTGGCACCGTGTTGTGCATCAAAGTATTCACAGTGGAGAGAAACCTTACAAGTGTTATGAGTGTGGCAAAGCCTTTAGTGTTCGTTCAATCCTAACTACCCATCAGATAATCCATACTGGAGAGAAACCTTACAAATGTAATGAGTGTGGCAAGATGTTCACTCAAAATGCACACCTTGCACGTCACAGGAGAAGGCATACTGGAGAAAAACCTTACAGATGTGATGAATGTGGCAAGGCCTTCACTCAGAATTGGCATCTTGTTAGGCATCAAAATACTCACAATAGAGAGAAACCTTACAAGTGTTATGAATGTGGCAAAGCCTTTAGTCTTCATTCAATCCTAACTACCCATCAGATGATCCATACTGGAGAGAAACCTTACAGTTGTAGTGAGTGTGGCAAGGCCTTTACCCAACATTCACAGCTTGTGTGTCACAGGAGAAGGCATACTGGAGAGAAACCTTATAAATGTTATGAATGTGGGAAGGTCTTCAGGCATAATGGCTCCCTTGCATACCATAGGAGAATTCATACTGGTGAGAAACCTTTTAAGTGTTATGAGTGTGGCAAAACCTTTAGTGTTCGTTCATTGCTAACTACCCATCAGATAATCCATACTGGAGAGAAACCTTACAAATGTAATCAGTGTGGCAAGGCCTTCACTCAAAATGGGCACCTTGTTAGTCATCAAAGTATTCACAATAGAGAGAAACCTTACAAGTGTTATGAGTGTGGCAAAGCCTTTAGTCTTCATTCAATCCTAACTACCCATCAAATGATCCATACTGGAGAGAAACCTTACAGATGTAATGAGTGTGGCAAGGCCTTCATTCAAAATTCACAGCTTACATCTCACATGAGAAGGCATACTGGAGAGAAACCTTACAAATGTAGTGAGTGTGGCAAGGCCTTCAGTCAGAAATCAACCCTTAAAACCCATCAGATAATCCATACTGGAGAGAAACCTTACAAATGTAATGATTGTGGCAAGGCCTTCAGACAGAAATCAGCCCTTAAAACCCATCAGATAATCCATACTGGAGAGAAACCTTACAAATGTAATCAGTGTGGCAAGGCCTTTACTCAAAATTCACAGCTTGTTAATCATCAAAGCATTCACAGTGGAGAGAAACCTTACAAGTGTAATGAGTGTGGGAAAGCCTTTAGACTGCGTTCATTCCTTAGTGTGCATCAGGCGGTACATACTGTTGGGAAGTAGAGTTAGGAGACATGGAAAGTTTCAGGAGTTTTGCAGGGCTTTCTTTAGTTTGAAGGAATCTTTGTGTATATTACTTCACAAACCAGAAACTGCTTAGCATTAAGGGGGGATCATTTCACCAATCAGGGGCTATTGCAAGGTGGTGATGATCTTTAGGCCTGGCAAGCGTGTGCCTGGAGCTTGTGCAAGGCAGAGCTCAGCATAGGGCCCAAGGTTAGATCTTATTGAGGGATGTCAGCCCTGCAGACACACTGCATCTGGTACTGTCATAAACTTGGAGGCTATTCCTGTTCACTCCTGACCATATGTCTTATTATAGAGAGAAATAGATTAAAATATGCAGGATCAATGTTCCTGTTTTATGTGTTAAGTAACAATTTTATCTTTAACTTGTATACTGAACCAAGTGTATTCTTAACTTACAGTTTAAAATGTTTACCTTGGAAAAATTTTGTAACCATTTAATGTTATAGATAGAATTAGGTAAGAGATTTCTTGAAACCTTTGGGGGACCTTGAAACCTAAGTGAATAATCTATACACAATTCTCTTACCGAGGACAAGTTCTTCCCGTACCAATTAATACTGATGTGGGCCTTCACTCAGTGCCTCCTGGCTCACAAGAATGCTGGAGGACCTCTGGGTTCCCCATCACTGTAAACTACACTTTGTCTCTGTTATTTCTAAAAGTCTTGTGATGATCTTGCCTGGGTTCCATTTGTTGGGAGAGTAGCTAACTACTGGCATCATACTAGAGAAAAACCTTACAAATGTAGTCAGTGTGGCAAGGTTTTCCCTTGAAATACACACCTTTGAAGTCATCAGTTCATCATGGAGAGAAAGCTTACAGATGTAATGACTGTGAGAAGTTTTTCAGTGAACAATCAAAGCTTGCAAGGCATCACAAAATTCATACTTGAAAGAAACCATTCAAATGAGTGTGGCAAAATCTTCACTCACAGTTCACTCCTTGCATGACATTAGAGAATTCATTCTCAATGGAATTCTTACAAATCCTCAATCGAGTAAGGCCAATTAGCCTTACTTGAAAGAAACCATATGAATGAGTGTGGCAAGATCTTCAGTCACAATTCACTCCTTGCATGACATTAGAGAATTCATTCTTAATGGAATCCTTACAAATACAGTCTATGGCAAACCCCTTGTGACTTCAAGCATTAACATTGGAGAGCCCATGCTAAAGAACAATCATATAATTGTACGTGGAAAGGGCTTTTTTTGTGCTTCACAACACACTGGGCATCAAAATACACATTTCTGATGAAAGCACACAGATGTAAAGTGTACGTTGAGGCTATTACCCAGGGCCATAAATGTAGGTGAGGATTTGTATGATGAATGCCTCAGTCTCTAATTTTCCATGATTAACATTTGATATTACACACTGTAAAATAATTCTAAGTCCAAATATATTAAAACTTATGGCATGATATATATCAAGGTGCCAGGACATTTGGAGATGGCCAGTTACCTTGAGGTTACAAAATATTTTATTCATATAATTGAGGATTCTTGAAAAGGCTAGTTTACTACTCATAACATTCAACATGAACTTTAAAATCTTACTATTATGCCTTTTCCACAAGCCTTCGTTGTGGTCTGTGGGAAACAATCCATTGTGTGGCAGGGCCTGCTTTAAAGGTGAAGATCACTTCTGTCCACATTCCTGTAAGAAGAAGGATGCTGTCTTTGAATATTAAATACCATCTGAATGGCATTTGGGAAGGGCAGAGAATAACATAAATGTATGCTGTCACTTATCTTGCTCATTCTGTTCAAAGTTCTTTTCTGACAGGAGGGCACTGTAGGTTGAGGGAGACAAAGCTCAATCAAGTGGCCATAATTTACAGCAGATCAAATTTGCTACTCGGGTGGCTAACATCCAACAAGTGGTCACCTTCCTGGGATACCAGGTTGTAAGCCTATAAAAGTAAATTGGACTCTATTGTGATTGGAATATCACTCAATTTTGTGTTACATCTCTCATATATAATCAGACTCGGTTTCCTTGGGAAAACATTAAGAAACATCTACTTAATCAAGGAAATCTGACTGAAGAGATTGGAATTTTATGTCAAGGAATATTAAGTGCCTTCCGTCACAAACTTGATCTAATCTCTGAGACTGACAGTATTAATGGTATTTCATCTGGAGGGGAGTCAGTTAACCCACTTTCTCATCTTAAGATCTATGGGAGTTGTGCTATAGTAACTTTTTGAATTATTTTAATCATTTGCTTGTACTTATAGTCTGGAAAAAACTCCGAAGAAGACAAGACTCCAGAGTCCAATGCCTTGCAGTGATGGCTATCCAACTTCATCAACTTCTGAAAAGAAAGGGGAGATGTTAGGAAATGGGGTTAAGAGACATGGAAAGTTTCAGGATTTTTGCAGGACTTTTGTCTTGAAGGAATCTGTGGTCATGTTCACAGAATAGAAGCTGCTTAGCAACAAGGGAGATATTCCAGCAATCGGGTGACTGCAAGCTGTTGCCAACCTCAAGACCTACAAGCCAGAGCCTGGAGTTTATGCAGGGCATAGCTTGGTATGAGGCCAAGGGCTAAGAAACTGTTAAAGGATGTCCACTCAGGAGACCTTTGCAGCAAAAAACAATTAGCCTCAAGGACAGTTCCTGTTTCACTCCTGACCACATGTCTCATTATGTAGAGAAATAGATTAGGGAAGTATACAGGCTCTGTGTTCTTGTTTTATGTGTTACTACTTAATTAATGACTAACTTGTATGCTCAACTAGGTCTATTTCTTAATTAGGGCTTAAAATGTTTCTCTTGAAAAAAGTTTGTAACCATTTGCTCTTGTAGATAGAATTAGTCAAGGGAGCTCTTGAAACGTTTGGGGAGCCCTAAACCCTAAATGAATGATCTGTACACATAAGTCTATAACCACTGACAACTAGTTGCTGTACCAATAAATGCTGATGCGGGACTTCACTGGGTGCCTCCTTTCTCATGGGATTGATGGAGGACCCTTGATTTCCCTATCACTTTAAAATACACTTTGTCTCTGTCTCTATTATTTCAAAATTTCTTGTGATGATCCTGCCTGGGACCCATTTTATTTGGAGAGTCTCGAACTCCCAGCACCCCTCCTATGATTAGAGCCACCCACAGCATCCTTATCCTGCTTAGCGCTTTTCTCTCTTTTTATACCCTCTCTGCATTGGTTGTTTTTTTTTTTTCAGGGTATTATGGGGGTACAAATGTTAGGGTTACATATATTACCCTTGCCCCCCCTCCCTCCTTGAGTCCGAGCTTCAAGCGTGACCATCTCCCAGACAGTGCACATTTCACTCATTATGTATGTATATACCCATCCCCACCTCCCCGCTTCCACCTGCCCAGTATCCAATAAATGTTATTCCTATATGTCCACTTAGATGCTGATCAGTTAATACCAATTTGCTGATGAGTACATGGGGTGCTTTTTTCATTCTTGGGATCTTTCACTTAGAATGGGTTCCACCTCTTTCCAAGAAAATACAAGATGTGCTATATCATTATTGTTTCTTAGAGCTGAATAGTTTTCCTTAGTATAGATATGCCACATTTTATTAATACACTCATGTATTGATGGGCACTTGGGTTTTTTCCACAACTTTGCAATTGTGAATTGTGCTGCTATAAACATTCTAGTGCAGGTGTCTTTTTTGTAGAGTATCATTTGTTCTTTTGGGTAGATGCCCAGTAGTGGGATTCCTGGATCAAATGGTAGATCTACTTGTATCGCTTTAGGGTATATCCAAATTGCTTTCCATAGAGGTTGAACTAGTTTGAATCCCACCAGCAATATAGGAGTGTTCCTATCTCTCCACATCCATGCCAACATTTATTGTTTTGGGACTTTTTTTTTTTTTTTTTTTTTGAGACACAGTCTCACTTTCTTGCCTAGGCTAGAGTGAGTGCCGTGGCGTCAGCCTAGCTCACAGCAACCTCAAACTCCTGGGCTCAAGCGATCCTCCTGCCTCAGCCTCCCGAGTAGCTGGGACTACAGGCACAAGCCACCATGCCCGGCTGATTTTTTTTTATATATATATATATATTAGTTGGCCAATTAATTTCTTTCTATTTTTTTAGTAGAGACGGGGTCTCGCTCAGGCTGGTTTCAAACTCCCGACCTTGAGCAATCCGCCCGCCTCGGCCTCCCAGAGTGCTAGGATTACAGGCGTGAGCCACCGCGCCCGGCCTAGAATTGCTTTTGATATACAGGATATTCTCTGGATCCATACAAAGCGTAAAATTATTTTTTCTATATCTGTGAAGAATGCTGATGGGATTTTAATAGGTATTGCATTGAATCTGTAGATCAGTTTGGGTAGTATAGACATTTTAACAATGTTGATTCTGCTGACCACAAGCATGGTATGGATTTCCATCTGTTTATGTCATCTGCTATTTCCTTCCTCAGTGTTTCATAGTTCTCCCTGTAGAGGTCTTTTACCTCCTTAGTTAAGTATATTCCTAGGTACTTTAATTTCTTTGTTGCTATTTTGAAGGCAATGGAGGCTTTGATTTGGTACTCAATTTTACTGTTATTGCTGTATAGGAATGCCTCTGATTTGTGTGTATTGATGTTGTATTCTGAGACTTTACTAAATTCATTTATGAATTCCAGGAGTCTCTTGGTTGAATCCTTGGGATTTTCTAAATATAATATCATATCATCAGCAGATGGTGAGAGTTTGATCTCTTCTGTCCCCATTTGGATGCCTTTAATTCCACTTCCATGTCTGATTGCTATAGCCAGGACTTCTAGCACTATGTTGAATAGAAGTGGAGATAGTGGGCAACCTTGCCTGGTTCCAGTTCTAAGTGCGAATGCTTTCAATTTTTCTCCATTCAGTATGATGTTGGCTGTGGGTTTGTCATATATGGCTTGTATCATTTTTAGGTATACCCCTTCTATGCCTATTTTGTTAGGTGTTCTTATGAAAGGGTATTGAATTTTGTCAAATGCTTTTTCTGCATCTATTGAAAGGACCATATGGTCTTTGTTTTTGCTTATGTTTATATGGTGAATTACATTTATAGATTTGAACCATTTATAGATTTGAACCATATATGTTGAACCATCCCTATATCCCTGAGATGAACCCCAACTTGGTCATGATGAATTATTTTCTTGATGAGCACTTGGATTTGGTTAGCTAGGATTTTGTTGAGAATTTTTGCATCTATATTCATAAGTGATATTGGTCTGTAGTTTTCTCTTTTTTGCATTCTTTCCAGGTTTTGGTATTAAAGTGATGTTGGCTTTATGAAATGACTCGGGAAGGATACCATCCTTCTCAATGTTGAAGAATAATTTCTGCACAGTAGGCCCCAGTTCTTCTTTGTAGGTGTGGTAAAATTTGGGTGTGAAACCATCTGGTCTGGGACTTTTCTTTTAGGAAGATTTTTGATTGCTGTTTCTATTTCGGCTCTTGATATCGGTCTGCTCAGGAATTCTATTTCTTCCTGGTTGAGCTTAGGGAGGCTATGTGTTTCTAGAAATTTGTCCATTTCCTCCTCATTTTCCAGTTTGTGTGCATAAAGGTTTTTGTAGTATTCATAGATTATATCTTGTATCTCCGTGACATCAGTTGAAATATCTCCTTTTTTGTTCCTGATGGAGCTTATTAGGGATTTCTCTTTTCTGCCTTTTGTTAGTGTAGCCCAGAGGCCCTCAAGCTTTTTAAGTGGGCCCATTTCACTGTCCCCCAGATCGTTGGAATTTGCAACTTGTTGGGACAACTCGGCTGCTAACCAGAACAGGCAGAAGAGGCAAAAACACCCGGAGGGCTGGATAAATGTGCTAGGCAGCCCACATGTGGCCTACGGGCCATAGTTTGAGGATGCCTGGTCTAGCCAAAGATGTGTCACTTTTGTTTATTTTTTCGAAGAACCAACTGTTTGTTTTAATCTGTATAGCTTCCCTGTTGTCAATTTCATTTAGTTCTGATTTGATCTTATTAATTTCACTTCTGCTGGGTTTGGAGTTGGTCTGTTCTTCTTTTTCCAGCTCTTTGAGTTGTTTCGTTAGGTTTTCTACTTGTGATCTCTCTGACTTTTGGATATAGGCATTTATGGAAATAAACTTTCCTCTCAGTACTACTTTAGCTGTGTCCCATAGGATTTGAAAACATGTGTCTCCATTATCATTAAGTTCAAAGAATTTTTCATTTCCATCTTGATTTCCTCATTTATGAAGTAATCATTTAGCAGAAGGTTGTTTAATTTCCACATTTTTGTGTAGAAATGTGAGTTTATGTTAGGGTTGATTTCTACTTTTATTCCACTATGATCTGAGAAAATACATGGTGTAATTTTTATTTTTTTAATTTTTTGAGACTTTCTTTGTGTCCTAAGATATGGGCAATCTCAGAGAATGTCCCATGAGCTGATGAGAAGAAGGTTTATTCAGTGGATTTAGGGTAGAATGTCCTGTAAATGTCAGTCTGGCCCAGTTCTAGAGTTTTATTGAAGTTCATTATTTCATTATTAATTTTCTGTTTGGAGGATCTGTGCAGTCAGTTGGGTGTTGAAATCTCTGGCTAGTATGGGGTTACTGTTTATCAATTTGCTTAGATCCAGTAAGGTTTGCTTTATGAATCTGGGTGCACCCAGTTGGGTGCATATATATTTAAAATTGTTACGTCTTCTTGTTCAACTATACCCTTCACCATTATATAATGACCCTTTTTGTCTTTCCCTACTTTTGTTGGTTTAAAAACTAAATTATCTGAAATCAGAACTGCTACATTAGCTTTCTTTTGGCTTCCTTTTGCTTGAAATACTGATCTCCATCCCTTTACTTTTAGTCTATATGCATCCTTGCAGGTTAGGTGTGTTCCCTTCACCATTATATAATGGCCCTCTTTGTCTTTCACTACTTTTGTTGGTTTAAAAACTAAATTATCTGAAATCATAACTGCCACACCAGCCTTCTTTTGGCTTCCGTTTGCTTGAAATACTGATCTCCATCCCTTTACTTTTAGTCTATATGCATCCTTGGAGGTTAGGTGTGTTTCCTGAAGATAGCAGAAACTTTGTTTGAATTTTTTTTTTTTTATTCAGCCAGCCTATTTCTCTTGAGTGGGGAGTTTATGCCATTCACAGTTATTGAGAGAGCTGATAGGTGGGGCACATTTCTGTTCATTATTTTGAGTTGGACATTGTTGCATTGTTTTCTTTCTTGAGCCATTGTTGTATCTGGCCTTTAATCTTTAGCTTTTGAGTGGTTTTACATTTGTGAGTGTTTATTATGTTGATCTGTGTGTAACACTGTTTTGAGTACTTCTTGTAGGGCTGGTCTTGTCTTGGTGAATTCTCTCAGTCTTTGCTTATCT